CAAGACAATGGGGAAAATGTCTCCAGGGCATGTCAGAGACCTTTGCAGCAGCCCCTCCCTTCACAGACCTGGAGGCCTAGGAGGAAGAAATGGTTTCTTGGGGGCAGGCGCAGGGCCTGGCTGCTCTGTGCAGCCAACGTACAGGTTGAGCCATGGCTTCAGAGGGTGCAAGCCCCAAGCCTTGTCAGTACCCTTGTGGTGTTGAGCCTGCAGGTGCACAGAAGTCAAAAATTGAGCTTTGGGAACCTCCACATAGATTTCAGAGGATGTATGGAAATACCTGGATGTCCAGACAGGAGCTTGCTACAGGGACTGAGCCCATATGGAGAACCTCTTCTAGGGAAGTGCAGAAGGGAAATGTGAGGTTGGGGCTCCCACAAAGAGTTCCCACTGGGGCACTGCCTAGTGTAGCTGTGAGAAGATGGCCACCATCCTCCAGACCCAGAATGGTAGATCCACCAACAGCTTGAATCATGCACTTGGAAAAGCTGCAGACACTCAACATAAGCCCATGAAAGTAGCCAGGAGAGGGAGCTGTACCCTGCAAAGGCACAGGGGCAGAGCTGCCCAAGACCCTGGGAACCTTTCTCTTGCATCAGCATGACCCGGATGTGAGACATGGAGTCAAAGGCGATCATGTCGGAGCTTTAAGATTTGACTGCCTTGCTAGATTTCAGACTTGCATGGGGCCTTTAGCCCCTTTGTTTTGGCCAATTTCTCCTATTTGAAATAGGTGTATTTATCCAATTCCTGTACCCCCACTGTATCTAGGAAGTAACTAACTTGCTTTTTTATTTTACAGGCTCATAGGCAGAAGGGATTTGCCTTGTCTTAGATGAGACGTTGGACTGTGGAATTATGAGTTAATGCTGATATAACTTAAGGTTTTGGGGGACTGTTGGGAAGGTAAGATTGGTTTTGAAATCTGAGGGCATGAGATTTGGGAGGAGCCAGGGGTAGAATGATATGGCTTGGCTGTGTCCTCACCCAAATCTCATCTTGAATTGTAGCTCCCATAATTCTCACTTGTGGGAGGGACCTGGGGGGAGATAATTGAACCATGGAGGCGGTTTCCCCCATATTGTTCTCATGTCGGTGAATACATCTTACGAGATCTGATGATTTTATAAGGTGTTTTCCCTTTCACTTGGCTCTCATTTTCTCTCTGGTCTGCTGCCGTTTAAGATGTGCCTTTTACCTTCCACCATGATTGTGAGTCCTCCCCAGCCATGTGGAACTGTGAGTCCCTTAAACCTCTTTTTCTTTATAAGTCACCCAGTCTCAGGTATGTCTTTATCAGCAGTATGAAAATGGACTAATACAGAAAGACATACCGAGAGAGGTTCCTTCCACAGACACCAAACAGTCTCTTGAGAGTCTTGGTTAAAACCCTGAGGGATTTCAGCCATGTAGTTGATCACAAGAAAAGTAAGCCTGAGAGTTATTCAGGTGTCACGAGGACTGACCTGGTCGGATGTCTCTGGAAGAGTTTCTGCTCTGGCTGTTGTACTATAGACCAGCTGATTCTTGGGTGTTTTCTGAAATTGCAAGTGGGTGTCAGAGACTGGACTGAAACTCTAGGTGTGGTCAGGAATGTGGTTGCACACCTGTTTTAGGTGTGAGATGTGAAGACAAGGAGTGACTCTATTTAATTTTGCAGAACAAGAGTTGGTTACAAGCACCTGTTGAGGTCCTTTCCAGCAGGGCTGTAGAAGGTCTTTCAGTTAGTGTCTTTTCCATTACACAAAGTCCTCTGGCTGCGATCTGTGATCCTGGGAGTCGTTGGCCTCCACAAACTCACTGGGGAAAGATTCTGTTACCAGTTTAAAAAAAAAAAACAAAACAAAAAACAAAAAACTATTTATTAAAGTTTTAAGACATCTTTGGCAACAATGCAGTATTTACCCCTTGAGTAAGGCCAGCTTGTGTGAGCCCTCGTCTAGCCTCATAGGTCTTCCTGTTATTATTTCATTGGAAAACAGTGTTTTCCGAAAGGAGTGGGCCTAGGATTAAGTAGGACCAATGGGAGGTAAAGGGAGGTTCAAAGTCTCTGTTAACTTAGCTATTTGAATGTTTATTGTACCATTTGTCCCTACTACCAACCTGATTGGTTTTGAAATCTGAGGACATAAGATTTGGGAGGGGCCAGGGGCGGAACTAGATAGTTTGGCCGTGTTCCCACCCAAATCTCATATTGAATTTAGCTCCCATAATTCCCACTTGTTGTGGGACGGACCTGGTGGGAGATAATTGAATCATGGGAACCATTTCCCCCATATGGTTCTTGTGGCAGTGAAAACACATCTCACGAGATATGATGATGTTATAAGGGGTTTTCCCTTTCACTTGGCTCTCATTTTCTCTTTTGTCTGCTGCTATTTAAGAAGTGCCTTTTGCTTTTCACCATGGTTTAGGAGGTTTAGGGATGATCGAGACAATGCTAATGTTGTATTATCAGACAGACTTTGCAAATGGATTCAACGAGGTGTCCAGTCAAATGAGTCCCACAGTCGCTGTGTAGCTCAGACAGAGGATTCCCCAAACTGGAATGATTCTAACAAAACTTCGCCAAGCATTAAGACATCCCTATAACAGATCAATGCTTCCTCTCAATGAGAAAACACAGAAATCAAGATCAATACATATTTACTATTGTCAGAAGGCAGCATCTTGATAAAATTCAGTTTCCATATTTAAGAGGGTCCTGTTGGCAAAGCACAGGGACTTTGGGAGCCATGTAAAGGCTTGCCGGGGCTATGCTTCGGGCATATACTACACCAAGAGCACACCATTTGGGCTCTAGTGGGAGATGGTGTCCAGAAATATTGACTTCCCCATGCTACAATTTTTTCAAGGGTCCAAGGAGTCATTTCATGAATAAATTGAAGGAGGGGTAACTGTGCACCTCTGGGAATTATGGTTTTGTTGTTATTACAGCCTACCCACAATTCTCTACTTGGGTCAAAAGGGAGATCCCTTTTGCTATCAGATTTGTTTCTCTTGAGGGGTTGATACCTGGTATTGTAAAAGAATGTTGGTGAGGGCAATGGCATGAAGGAGGGAGCATGCTCGAGTGGACAGGCCATCTTTCCTAGGATGGCATTGTTTGCTGTAGCATCAGCTCAGTTATTTCCTTCTGCTTCTTCTGTGTTATCTTTTCGATGTCCAGGGATCTTGATGATTGTCAGCTGCTTTGGCATATGAATTGCTTCTAAGAGCTCCAAGAAACTTGGCACTTGCTGCCTATAAGTTGCCCAGATGAGGTGAGAAAGTCCTTCTGTTTCCATAGCAAGAAAACCATGGTCTACTCCAAAGGCGTATTGGCTCTCGGTGTATATATCTGCCACCTTTTCTTCAGCCAACTGTCAAGCTCCAGTTAACACTACTAACTCAGCCATCTGGGCTGATTGCACTTCTTTGCAGTTGGTCATTTTGATGGTGTCTACCGTGGAAGTGGTGGCATATACTGCCTGGTAATACACATGCACTACTCCCAAATGAGAACCCTCCGTGAGTCAAATTAATTCAGCATTTTCCATGCAGGGTTCCTGTAAATCCTCCCTAGGGGAGAGTAAGATATCCCTTAGCTGAGCGCCGTCATGTTCCTCCTCTCACTGCTTATCTGGAAGAGGAAGCAGGGAGCAGGGTCAGAGTGTTACAGTGCTTCCGAGTCATGTTAGGGGCAGAAAGCAGGAGCACTTCATAAGAAGCGAGGTGGCTGTCAGAACAGTGTTGAGTGTGGTGAGAGCTTAGGAGAGAGTCCACAGAGTGGGAGGCATGGATGGTGAACAGAGACCCTAGGACAAATTCTTCAACATTCTTGCATAAGATGGCTGCAGCTGCTATGCAAGGAGGTGCCCTCTTGCCACC